ATACTGGTACAAGAAGGCCATTCAATAGCCCGACATGGGGTCAGCGGCGTGACAACCAAGAGAGTCTAAGATATTGGCGGATAATGCATGCAGACTGATGATGTTCGGAGAAGGCTTTGCAGTCACAATCGCATGCGTTCAGGGTGTAAGTGCGGATCGAGGGGATCGAGCTGTTAATGGGGCCAAATCGACGACTGAAAGCTAAAATCCAAAAATAAATTTGCAGGATCGCCTCCGGCAAGGAATGGAAGGGTGGCAGCCTGGCAGGAAAAGAGGGGACCTCAATATGGCAGGGCCAGGTGGATTTGGGTGGCACCACCAGAATATATGAAGTGTGGGCTGAGAAGGGTGGAAAAGGAGGAATGAGCTAGGTAGTGAAGACTCCGTGAGGGAGAGGGAGAAGTGCACCGGATTATCTGATAAAATCGAGATCAACCTTGTGCTGACTGCAGATCCACTGGGGAATGATCATTGAACCATATTATCTGCCCAGAAGAAAAAACTTTGGGGCCGTTTCAACAGTTTCGGAATAATCCCCACTGGTCCGTTCGGTTCAGGGTCAGGCAGAAACGAATGAACGGACTGTCACCGAGGGTGGTTTGTGGACCGAACGACAGTCTAAAGACGACAATTCTTCAGCATGATAAGCAAAAGGAACCGTTAGCATCAGCAGGTGCAGATATGGGACCAGGCTAGCTGATTGCCTAGCTGATTACAGTAAAGTAATGTTGACTCTGAAGTTGTTAGTGGGAAGGGCAACATCGTTGATACGAAGAATAGTTAAAGTAGACTCCGTGTTGTCAGGCTGAATTTAGAAATAAGCTTAAGGGGGTGCAGAGCCATTGCTGCCAGGAGAATTGCCGCTTGGCTGAGGGGTGCGAGTGAATGTTTTAGATAGGGATGCACTCGTGGAGGTGGCGAAGGAACAAACACTGAGGAACTGTACTTCGTCAAGGTTGTCGAACTAGACAAGCCCAGACACAAAACATGGTCAACGGGAGGCTCGAGACCTTGAGAGGCTCGGCCTTAGAGTTAAACTTACAGGCCTGAGGCTGACAATAGTTAATGCCTGAGGCTGCAATCTCACGGCGTTAATCCTCACCGCCTTGGGATTAAGTCCGAGGCAAAGGGCGTCCAGGCTGTTAAAACTGATCCCATAATTTGTTCCGCGTCGCCGACCGCGCTGCCGCAGAACTCTGAACCTCCCCTCGTGTGCTACTCTCAAAGACACTCATGGTCCAGACGAACGGCGCCTGAGAAATTGCGAAATACATTTTTGGAGTTTTACTCGTGGTTTTATGTATCTTTGGGGCTTGCAGACCGCGTCGTGACCCTACCACCGTTTCGCATCTTTCGCCGAACGCCGCCGCCATCCTCGTCCTCCACCACCTGACAAAGAAGTGACAGGCTACGCAGCGCATTCCACCACTCCTGATATATCGCGTCGCATCCTCTCCCAAACCTTGCGATAGCTTGTGAGGATCGGAGACAACATCATGGTCAGGTGTTTGACAAGAACGGGTTTCATTTTTTAATACGTCCGGTGTTCTGGAACTCTTCTTTTCCCCCTCTCCCTGGGTAGAACCCTGGCTCATCTCCGAGACGCCGTGTTTGGCTTTCTTCGAGCTTTGCTGAGGGAATATAGACGGAGTAACAGTGGTTAGGTGCTTCGGGATCAGCCCAAGCCCCTGGCAGGTGCTCTGGGGATGGCTGGAGACCAACAACCGCCTGCCGTCTCAAGCCAGGCGAACGGCTCGGTAGACGAGAAGCGACCAACAAACCCCTACGAAACCAACCCCGAGCTCATTCCCGACGATGACCTTTTTCTTGCGCGAAGTGTGCATTACGGGCGCTATGCATCGTCGGACAATGACTTCAAGCCTCGCCATGAGTATTGGTGCCAGTCGGATCCAGAAGTTAAGTCCTACTGGGAAGACATTGTGAAGGATTCTTGCAAGCCAGAAAATTCATTGAATGTTCCGGGTGCGAGAGAGGCTTTCGCTGCTGGCAGCGTCATCATTAGAGTCGACCGTGAGCCTGAAGCCGATGCCGCAGCGGAGATGTATTCGTGCATCAATGCGAATGAGCTCAGCGCGGCAAGGAAAGCCGAGGATGCCCTCCGAGATCTCGACATTACTGTTCCAGTGATATATTTTTGTGGTACCATCGAGAATAAGAATGTGACTGTGGAGTCAAGACTCTCCGGTGTCTCATTGGATGTTGCTTGGAAGTATCTCAGTGCTGATCAAATCGAAAACTTCAAGCATCAGTGTCGCCGCATATCCCAGCGCTTAGGAGATGTCGACGCCGCTCCCGACCGACCCTCATATGTTTGCAGCGGCCTAAATCTGCAACTTCCGCCCGACGTCCAGCAAGTTGAGAAGGATGTTCTTTTTCGCGAGAGGAAGAAAGGCGAACGACTTGCCCTAGTACATAACAACCTCATCCCGGCCAATATAGTTGTGAACAATGGTCAGGTAGTCGGGATCACTGGATGGCGACAAAGCGGGTACTTTGGATTTGAGCGGGCGGACGAATTACATCGCCGCCTTAGGATTCCTGAGATGGCGTCTGCCGGCGAAGTTGAGGGCTCAGTGAATGTACCTGAGGTATGGGCCGATATCTATGAAGGTCTGCCCAGCGTTGTCGGCGAGTCGACATCTGCGACGAAGCACAATACGCCCGTACCGCAAGTGAAGACCGAACCGTCGAATGTGGAGTTGAATGGAGTTCCTCTTGATCATGAGCCCGACCACAAATCAGGGCTTCCTCAGCTCGATGGTACAGCATTGCCCGATGAACACCCAACTCCGAAAAAGATTGCCAGCCTCAAGAATCGAGAAGCCTCCCGGGCGTCCTCTTCCGATCGATCTTCACCGGCAGTATCCACCAAACCTAGTGCCGCGACCAAGAAGTCCGGTATCGGCCTCACTAAGAAAGGCACGGCTAGGAAACCCGCGGCCAAGAAAAGGAAGTTGACTGAAATTGACAATGAGAGTGTTGCAAGCAGGCGATCGAACACCCCTTCATCACGTACGAGCAGAGCAGCTGGAAGGACCAAACGTGGTTCCGCGTCCGTCGCGAGCTCACCGGCGCCCGAAGCCAAAAAGAAGAACGCCAAGAGTAATCTTGTGGAGGAGGTGGAAGAGGAGGAAGAGGAGGATGACTCCGAAGACAATGATGAAGTGTTCTGCATCTGTCGTAAGCCGGACAATCACACGTGGATGATTGGGTGCGACGGTGGCTGTGAGGATTGGTTTCATGGGAAATGCGTCAACATTGATCCACGAGACGCTGACCTGATTGACAAGTATATATGTGAGTTGGCCTCCCAAATCAACCTTCTTTCTTTCCGACTACTATTATGTCTCGATAATGATTTTATCACGGATATTGAACTGACAAGTAATAGGTCCGAATTGTAAGGAGCAGGGCAAGGGATGGACAACCTGGAAGCCGATGTGTCGGCTGAAGGAGTGCAGAAAGCCTGCCCGTGTCAATCAAGACAGTCCCAGTAAATACTGCTCAGATGAGCATGGTCGAGAATTTATGCTTCAAAGGACTAGGCTCCTACTTGTGAGTGCCGGGCCTGGCGCTCGGAAGTCAGCCGCTCGGGCAGCTCTAGGTGGACTGGGATCCTCAACGAACAGCCCATTTCCCGACAGCGCGTCCTCTCGAGAAGGAAGTGGCCTAGAGACAGGCAGCGGATATGATAATGTCGAGAAGAATAATTATCCAGAAGACCTCGGAAGCAGAGGTGGTGTTCTCACGACCGGAGACCTCAAGGCAGTGGTCATGGGCGTCAAATCAGCGGATGAATTCCGCAAGCTGGGAGAGAGCATCATCTCAGTCTCTGCACCGGCGAAGGGCCCCGCTACAGGGACCAAAGAGGACAACAAGAAATTGGGCCTTGACTTCGATGTTGATTGGCTCACCTATGCACCCGACGAGGCCGCGATGATCGACAAGCTGCGCAAACAGCGCGATGGCCTCGTCCACCGCCGAGAGATGCTCAAGGCTCGAAGCCACTTTGTGACTCTGGTGCGGCAGCGTTCCAAATGTATTTTAGACAAGCTGAAGCAGAAGGAACCCAAGGGCGGATGGAAGGACATCTGTGGCTTCGACTACCGACTGGCCTGGTCAGACGAGGAGTTCGACGAGTGGCGGCTTTCCGAGCTGGGAGCCGAAGCACTCAAGGATGGCACGCCCGAGGCACTGGCGTCAAGCTACTCCGATGCCACCGACGCAGATGGCGATACTGCCATGGGGGGTGCGAAACCCGCCGGGGATGATTTGGAACATCTATCCCATGGTGTTTGCATCAAGAAACGCTGCGAGCGGCACAAGCAGTGGGTAAAGGTGCAACAGCAAGATGGCCTTTTCGAAGAGAGTACCCTGGCCCAGGACCTTAAAAAGTGCGAGAAGGAGGCTCAGAACGTGGTGGAAAGAGCTGTTCTCAGGCTATGGGCGGAGGAAGACAATGCTCAGATCAGTAATCATTGAGAAAGTGCTTTCCTCACGATTTAATCGCCACTGTTTGCTTCGCGCAACTTCGTTACTTTGTTATCCTTCTCTTCTTCTTCCCAAAACTTTGTGTCAAACCATGACATTTCGTCTTCACCTTGCCCCCCCCCCCCCAAAAAGCCGCCTTTTTGACGGCGTGCTTGATTGATACCCCCCCATCTTTCTTTACCGGAAAAGAAAAAAGCAGGAAATCGAACCGGAGTTGGTTCTTCATGGCTGTTTTTTCCTTTTTCTTTTGGGTCTGTGGAAACATACCACTGAAAACATGTTGCATGCATAATAGAGGAATATGGGGTTCTAGGAGTGTATGTGTGTGGTTGCTTAACATATGCTAATAGTTTTGACACCATTTCCCCCCCATGAATGATGATAGACCATTTGCATCTTGTTATTCCGTATCCTTCCAGTAAACCTTGCTTGCCGTCGTTACTTCCGACATTATCGTAGCATGAATTGACAAAGACACCGAGTAGTGTTCAAATGCTTTTCCAAACACACCACTTCCCGATCCCCTCGCCCAACCGGTCCTTGATAACCTCGACTACCACCCCCGACCCCTTGATAGGCGACACTAGGATATGCGTATCAAGTCCCTGGTCCAACGTCCGCATCAACAAGCTCGGAAATAGGTTCGCCCCATTTGCGCCAAATGCAGACCGAACCCCACTTTCCCGACTGCTGGCCTCATCCTGCATTGCGATCGACCCACTCGCATAGTCAGCATTGGCGGCCGCTGTCCCCAGTCCACTCGTATTGACCAGCAGCACCGACACCGCTGCAGGACCAGTGCGGGTCAGGTGTGTTAATGTCCGTAGGGCGGCCGTCAGGGCGGCCGCGCCTCGCGCGGCGTTGGATGTGCGCACGACGCCCTCGGCGAGGGTGTTGAGGCCGGCGACGAGGACGATGGCTTTGTTGGGCTGCAGGGAGTTGCGGCCCGCGGCGGATGATGCTACGGCTGAGCTGATTTCGTGGATGGCTTGTAATGCGGTCTGGAGGTCGAAGACGGGGAAGAGTTGGACGCGGTCGAGGCAGGCGATCGCGGCGTCGCGTGTCAAGACTTGGCGGTTGGTGGTGGTGGTGGTGTTGAGCAGGGAGGCGAGGAGTCTTCTGGGGGAGAAGGCGTTGAATGTGGCTGGGTGGACGATATAGACGGCCGTTGAGTTGGGTGCGTTGAGTGTTTGGGCTTGGCGAACTAAGTGGGCTGTGAGAAGGGCTCGAGGAAGCTGATAGGCGGTTAGTCTGTGGTTTAGAGGATTGTGATCGTGAACGTGAACGTGAATAGATGTAGATGAAGTCTCAATAGAGGCTCTCAGGAATCGAGGCCTGACCTGGTAGGGTCGTGATGCTCTTGCATGAAGATAGAGTGTACGGACTTATGGATTCTGGTAGCTGAGATGCTCTTACCTGGCTTAAACATTCATCATCTTCCGTATTCTCGTTGTTCTCGCTTCGGAGCCGCGAGAAACCGATCACTGAGCCAGCGCGGAATGCACTCTCCGGGGATGCTTGCAATCCAGCATTGATATCTGCGTAGAGGTTCCAGGATTCTGTCTGGTGTGGCGGATGACTCGAATCTATGTCGTCCACGGACTGTTGACTACTGCTGCTTGCTTCATCGGATAACAGCAAATTGTGGGCCAGAGTGGGAAGCGCAGGTCCAGCAGCATGTGAGTTACTGGTGGAATCCATGGTTGTCCGAGTGAACAATATCGCCGGCGGTCCTAGCGCGTATACTTCTAGTATAGCTTTGGGGATCGAGAGTGGAAGTGCTACGTAGCAAGTCAGCTGGTGCGGAGGTTATAGTGTTGTAGAGCGTACATCTTGAGAATATGATAAGCGAGCAATTGATTCAGTAACTAGATTGCTGAAGGCAAATCATGCAATGTAAAATGTGTCGGTATTAATATGTGTATGAGAGTGGAATCGAAGAATGGGTCCAGATTAGTAGATTGCGGCACGTGTTGAAGCCTGGTATATAAGGCATCAAATTCTGCTCAGGAGCATGTTCCAGTATTCCAGACACTCTTGAACAGCGTTAGAGACAAGACAATGCCGGAATGGAAGATCGGCATGAGGTCTACTCTAAAAAAATGATGGGAGTTGCAAGGATGTAGGGGCGCGGCAAAAACAGACAGGCTCGGACCAAAAAGTACACCAATGGTATGAAAGGGTGATGAGGTGTGAATGTCAAATCAGATTGTATAGGGTTAAGCTGGGGGTTTATCTATTATGGTGCTAGAAATGACGAAAAGCTTTACTTCGCAAATGAAACTTCGCAAATGGTTCAATTGTAATTTTGCGTTGTGGGAAAGTCCATAATCAGGTAATCATGCACCAGTGTTCGAGGACTGGTTCTTGATTCCTCCATTCGATGCTGTTTTGGTCCATTCCCCATGGCCATTCGTCTCCCATTCGGTATCTTTGAACTTTGCGCCTAACGATTGGCTGAGTTCAACACGAAGTGCCTCGTTTTGGTAGTCAAGGGTGCGGAAATGAACAAGCGAAGCGCTACGTCCCAGCTCGATGATGGAATGAGCGATGATATCGTACCCCGTAGCCAGCTCCATCCATGGATCGTTGGGATCGATGGGACCTCTGTTTGCCAGGTCAATGGCCGAGTCTTCTGAGCATGGGGCCAGTTGTACGGTGAATGATTGCAAGTTCATCATCAGCTCCAGGGCATCCAAGACCAATTTCACATGATTATAGAAGGGGAATATAGCGGTGTAGCTGAATGAAGTCAGATGCCGGAGCCCGCGCGATATGGAAAGTTTCTCCTCATCGCTGCCCATGGAGGCTATTGTACCCCATTTACCAAGCACTGACGGAACCTCGAATAAGAAGTACTCATAATGTGCGTACGCTCTGAGCGAGGAGCCCTCATTGAATCTGAGTGATGAATAGGCCATGATATCCAACGGATTGGATGACGGGTTAGTCGTGAAGACCGGGGATTCAGGCAGGGTACTTCGCTCCCACTGACACAACTGGTGAGTAATTTGAAATGCCCAATTATGCTCCTCCGGAGCCTTGGTGTTCAACATGGCCCCAATCCGCGAAGGTGGTGCAAGAACAGTGATCCGCAATGGGTTGAGGTTGGACAGATGTCGGAGCAACCGGTTAATGTCCAAGTCGCGGGGTGGATCATTCCCGAGTAGCACGACAAGCGAGGTAATATAGCGTTCTAGTCTGTGCGATGTGACGAAATTGAGAAAGTCATAGAGATCATCGAGATAGAATCGAGAATGCGCGTAGAGTCTTGATCGCACGAGCTTGAGCAGCCGTGAAGATACTTGTGCGGCATTCTTCAAGTTCTGCGTACTGGAAGCTGTGAAGTATATTGCTGGTGTATGATGAAAGTTGTATTCGGAGGGAGTAGCCACCGGAAGATAGCTCACAATCTCATCCAGGATTTCGTTCGGCAAATTTTCGAGACATGACAGCTGCGAAGTCATCGTTCGATTGCCCAAAGAACTTGACAATCCCTGATTAGGTTTCACATCTCAGGAACACACTGTGGATACCAGGCTCCGACCGGTTTGAGTGCTAGAATTCGGTAATTCTGTGGTATAGACACTGATGGTCGTGACAGTGAATCAACAGCACATGATAAGGATCTTGGTTAAGTTCAACATTAGTGTATCTTTATACAGCAGGCGGTGAGTAGGAGATAGCTGGTCGGGAGTTCGAGATGTTGTCAAGTGCCGCGGTTCCCCACAGCTTCCAAGCACATGATTCCATGCAATTAGGAGAGTTTTGATAGGGTATTATGCTTCCATCCAGTCAGGATAGACGGTAAAAAGTTGATCCCAGTGCTCGGGAGACAGAGCTTTGATGTATATATGGTATCCTTCCGCATCAATATAATATTCTAGTGGGTTGTGCAACTGCGAGAGAAGTTGTCAAATAAGGTGGATTGACGTCTGAGTTCTGACAGGCGAAATTATTCTGGACGCTCGGCAAAAAGCGGCCTTACCGAAACAGACCAAGTGTGGAGAAGGTCGAGGGACTAGCGTCTCCCCCCCGCACCAGCAGAACAAAAGTGCAGACACTGACATTCATCCCTCTGCTTTTCGTTTGCAATGCGACCAATGCAACCATTTCACTTCCTGCGGTGTCAAGCGCTATTATAAGAGTTTAATGCATGCCCACCGACTTGGTGTAGTCGGAATGCTCAAGACTGACACAATAACCTATGCGATTGTCTGAAAAATGCATGCCTCGCTGAGTCAGACCTTACAGCATCAATGCTTTGCCCCACACCGGTCGATCAAAGCTTCCGCCACCCTTTCTGCGATTATGATTCATGGATCCTCTCCTTGAGGTCTTTACCTGGCTATGGACAAGTTTATTATGTTTTCCATGGAGATAAACGAAAGGCATCCATGGGTTCATAAGAGCTTTCTGCTTCTGCGGGACTTAAGAGTATGAAGACCGGCCGTCGAAGTCACTATTCCATGCCGAAGGCCGAAATAAAGTAGCCGACAATGAGTGACCGATAGGAACCGGGAAACTCGAAACTCGGATGTGAAAGTAGATTTGGAACAGGCCTGTGGGGCACAAGCTGAGCAGATGGTTCCTCCTGCTCCGGACTTCGGATCTCGCAGTCTTGCCTCAAAAAGTGCTGCGTGCCCCTCCCCTCCTCTTCATCCCCCTTTCCTGCCTCTCTGACTGTTGTTTTCCTCTTTCTGCTTCACCAATTTCTTGTCCTTAGTGAGTTCCATCTTGTCTGAGATAGTAGCGAGAGATTTCAGCTAACGTCTCTTAGCTATTACATTTTGTCTGTGCATCACAATGGCCCCTCAACTGCACCGCAACCCCCCTTTCCGTGCTGAGCACCTGGGCTCTCTGCTTCGGACCGATGATCTCCTGAAGACCAAGATTGCTTTCGAGAAGGGCGAAGTCTCCAAGGCTGAGCTGGATGTCATTGAGAACAAGGATATCAAGGAGGTTGTTGACACACAGAAGAAGCTCGGCTATGCCGCCATCTCTGATGGAGAGTATCGCAGACACAGTAAGTCACTTTCCCGTGCTGTATGAGCCTTTGTTATCATATAAGGCTATGAGGCCTAACCAGACTCTGAAATTAGTGTTCTGGGGTACTTTCTTCCCTGGCTTGGACGGATTCGACGAGGTGACCGACTTTGACGCCGACATCTTCCGCCCGTATGCGCCTGATGTCGCTGCCTTCCTCGAGGCCGGCCACAAGCCTGGTGAGACCGTCCTGTGCACCGGCAAGATCAAGCACGTTGGCAGCACGTATGTCGATGAGTTCAAGTACCTGGCCAGCGTGGTTCCCGCCGATGAAGTCAAGAACCTGAAGATCACTCTTGCCGCTCCCAACTGGTATCACTTGCGTTACAAGGAGGGCAAGGCCTACCCCAAGGATGTCTACAGCTCCGACGAGGAGTACTTCGGCGACATCGCCAAGGCCGTCCAGGCTGAGCTGCAGATCCTCTATGACGCTGGCTGCAGGAACGTTCAGTTCGATGACCCCAACCTTGCTTGTAAGGCTTACCAACCACCCACAAACAAACACGCGAAATGCATAGATGGCTGACTGTGATCATCAGACTTCTGCTCCGAGAAGATGCTTGCCGGGTGGAAGGAAGATCCCCTGAACGTACGCTCCGCCGATGAGACCTTCGAGCAGTACATCAAGCTGTACAACGACTGCGTCGCTAAGCGCCCCGCTGACATGCACATCGGCGTTCACCTTTGCCGTGGTAACTTCGTCGGCAGCCGTCACTTCTCCGAGGGTGGCTATGACCGCATTGCCACGAAGCTCTTCAAGGAGCTCAACGTTGACACCTACTACCTCGAGTACGACACCCCCCGCGCCGGTGGCTTCGAGCCCCTGAAGGAGCTCCCCACCCATAAGAACGTCATCCTCGGTGTGGTGACCAGCAAGTTCGCCCAGCTTGAAGACAAGGAGGAGATGAAGAAGCGCGTGTACGATGCCGCCAAGTTCATCGCCGAGGGCAACAACATCTCCCTGGAGCAGGCACTCAACCAGGTTGGCGTCAGCCCTCAGTGCGGCTTCGCCAGCCACAGAGAGGGCAACGCCATCGACCGTGACGGCATGATCGCCAAGCTCAAGCTTGTCCGTGAGATCGCCGACGATATCTGGCCCGGTCAGCTGTAAATCAAATGGCCAAAACTTTCGGTAAAGCTACTACCACAAAGGAGGTCTGCCCCTTCCAAGGCCAGACTCCGACTCTCCTGTCGATTTCAACAACGAACGTGGAGTGATGAGACGAACGTGACGACAAACTTTTGTGTGTTTAGGATACCACTTATTTAACATATGGTTTTAAAAATGTACAGTGTTAGTGCGAATATGATTGAGCTATTAATTCTTCGAAGAATTATCCCTATTGTGATATCAGAATCACAGTGCCTTTTAAGTATGCGGGCGGGTGCTTGAGTACCTTGGAGATGCCCCAATGTGGAAAGATGCAAGGTTCGCTAACCTAGTCGCTGACAAGCCCACCTGGCAATGTAGATCGCGCTTCGCCAACTGACAATATTATTCGTACCTAAACCCAATTTCAGCTGGAGACTTTTCCTAGTTTCGCTTGTTCCGATAGAACCTACTGCCCATCATTTCCATAACCTTGCAGTATGGGCTGATCCTGGCCAGGACCATTCCCTGCTACAGTAAGTGGGGAAAGGAGTCTAGATCGCTGTCTGATACGAAGCCAAGTCACATGTTTTGTTTGTGAGTGGCTTGATCTCCAATAACTTACCATCAGCAGTACCCTAGTATAGCACGTCAAATGTACGTCAGACACGCCAATTCAAACATAGGACTCTCTTTTTCCTAGTATCTAGCGCAGCTATGAAAGACAGAAAGCAGCTCAAGAACAAAGACATCATTAAAACACGATATATGTGTGGAATGCATGTATGTGCTGGTCCCAAAGTTTTTTCCCTTCTATTTTGAAAATGTTTCTACACATCGCCGAAGACACGGGGGTGACGAAAATAATAATGTGAAGAAAGTCAAAGCCAAGACGAAAAAAGTGGTAGGAGTATTATTAGAGGGGGAGGGGTATTGAAATGGCCCGCATCGGAACAGTGAGGGATATCATGAAAAAGAGAAGAACGAAATGGCGGAAGAGGCATGCGCAGGAGGAAAAGAAAAAAGAAACACAGGGTTCAAATGCTGCGTCTTCTGTCATCAAAGCCGACGTGAAACGAGGAGGTGCCAACTAATTCGGTGTAGGTGGAATGGAGCATGCTGTACACGAGATGGGGCATTGGAATAGCCTCCGATTCACGACTGCAGGGGTTTGGCGGCCGGCGTGCGAATAATTTATTTCTGAGGTTGGGTCTTGACGTTGTTGGAGAGCCAAGCCTGCAAGAATGAAAGGTTAGCCCTGTTAAGCCGAGGTTTGGGGATTATTGACTTACAAGACCCTCAAAGATACCGGTACCCTCCGTTGCAACACTGGGCGCAACATACCACAGCTTGTCCTTGAGCTTGTTGAGTTGCAGTGCCTGGGTGACGTCTTCAGGACTCATATCTGCAGATGACAGCTGATTAGCTCTTGACTCTGAAGGTAGGAATGGAAGATACATACGGCCCTGGACATCCTGCTTATTAGCAAAGACAAGGAGCAAGGCATCCTTCATTTCGCGATCATTGATGATCTTGTGAAGCTCCGAGCGAGCCTCTTCCATCCGAGCAGTGTCGCTAGAGTCGACGACGAAGATCAGACCTTGTGTACCTGGTCAGAGAATCAGGGTTAGCATCGGACACCACGAAACTAGCTGCTCCGTGCGAAAGTTGTACCGGAGTAATAATGTCTCCACAGCGGACGGATCTTGTCCTGACCACCGACATCCCAGACGTTGAATTTGACATTCTTATATGTAACGCTCTCGACGTTGAAACCGACGGTGGGGATCGTGGTGACATCCTGATTTGTAAGTTTCAACTTGTAAAGAATTGCTGTTGACACCTTGATTAGTACAAATATTCACAATTGATTGGCTGACAAGAAGCGATCAGCAGGGGGTCTCACTGGTTTTTCCAGCAGCATCCAAACCCAGCATCAAGATTCGCATCTCCTTGGTGCCGAAAATCTTCCCCATTATCTTAGACACGGAACCGCCCATTGTGACACACGATAAGCGACCGCTGAAGGTCGCAGACTGCTGGAGAGATTAAGAGAGTATTGAGAATTATGTTGCGAGATGGTTCAATGGGCGTTTCCCGGTCGAATAGGGATCGGAGTTGCAGTCGCTGGAAGGAGAGAATGCGTTATTAGGGGAGGGGTTTGTGGAGGGAGAAGGACGACGAGAGAGAAGGACAGCGAGCTAAGCACGGCCGGAGGGTCAATTTCTTTTCCGTCCGCGTGAACAAGGTAATGGTGCCCCATTATTGGCAATGCGCCGAAGTACGCAAGGTAAACAAGACATACAGAACTTACCTGGGGGGGGGAAGAGAGGAGGGGGAAGGGAAGGCAGCGAGGCCAACAGAAGATTGTAGGGAGAGAGAGTATGAATGAATGAATGGATGAATGAATGGACGGACAACACAAATGAACGGCACACTGACAAGACCAGCAGGGGTAAAAGTCAATCCGACCGTGACTGATCAGAGGAAGAGGAAGAGAGAGGAGGCAGGAGCAGCAGCAATAAGAATTTCAGGGTTCACGATCCACCTCACGAGAAACGATTCTCCTTCTTGCTTCGCTTTCATTTTCCCTTTCGCAAAGCTCGAGCGCCGTAAAAGGGGCTATCCGATGACTAAGCATTCACCCCCGCGCCAAGCACTTCGGCTGTTTCAGACTCTCATACAATCTTTCATCAATTATCATCCTGGTCGGCTTGTTGTCAGTCTGTCCAGTTCCAAGTTGCCAGGGGGGTGAGAAGAATGAAGAAAGAAAAAAAGAAAGAAAGATGAAAGGCAATTGTTTAACCGAGGAACAAAGTCGAAGGAAGGTACGGAGTAGGTAAGCACCCAATACCTGATCTAAACACATTCATTCTGACCATCATGGATCCGATCCACCCCAGCTTCTCATCGGGTGGAGTGTTGGACAAGAAACCTATCGGATCTCTCCGCATTGAAACAGTGTGCCGTATTCACCATTCAGCAGTAATATACGGAGTACACATTCACAACGGACACACAACGGACACAAACGGAGCATTTAGAAAGAACACAAGCCACATCAACCAGGATTATTAACATCCGAGCTGCCATCACCCGTATAACAAACGCCAGGCACGGCGACGGTCGGTAGGAGGCGGTACCTTTGTGTATACAATACGTCATGGCCACACTGGTGAGGTCATCCCACCATAGCTCCTTCGCACATGGTCGGTCTTACGATCTTTCGGTCGTAGCACAAAGCTGTTGGCTTTTTCCGGACGACTTTTCCTCTATAAGACTGCGCAGATACCCTTGTGTTCGTCCGTGACAATCCCCCCCATTTCTTTTACTATTCTTTACCCCCAATCATCACCATTAACATGGCAGCCCGACCCTTCCGCCGTCGCTCATCAGTCCATGAACAACAAGTGTCGCACCATTTCAAGAAATTCTCTTGGGAGGCACCCCCATCGAAGGTACAAGCGCTTCGTGTCGATGGTCGTGAATGTCGCGCAACTTACTGACGGTCCTTCCTCCTAGACCATCTACGCAGGTCTTTCGATCTTGTTCGATGATGATGGAGCAACAGTAGCCATCGCGATCCGGGATGCGACCTACCTTCTCGACTTTGTTCAGGATGATCTCACTGCCGAGGGCGACGAGTCCCTTTCTACACAGATCGTCGACTATGTCCTGAATAACTTGCGCAAATACAGCGAAGAGCGCCTCGAGAAGTTCATTGGGTTAGCCATGCCGACAACAGTGGCTAAGAAGTGCCCAACTCTTTGTTCCAAACTCTGGGCCGAGCTCGATATCATCCCATTGGTCTTGCCTGAAGAAAGCAGCATCGGTACCGACAATGTCTCCAACCATCCTATTCGTAAGTCTACTGGCTGGGAGATCAAGAGTGTCGACGAACAATCGGAGTCCATGGGACGGAAATGTGTCAGGTGCGCTAAACATCCCTTCTCACTATGCTTCTGAATTACTAACAGCAATTCAAGGCTATTCGGACCTGAAAACATTCCTTTGCTGCAGGTCGGATTCTTGGGCTTGGTGGAGGTGGATACTGCCTTCCACGTGCGTTTGACGAACCTAGAGGATTTCCGCAAGACAGTTACACAGAAGACCTGGGATGCGGTTCAGTATTATGCTTCCGATCTCAAGAAGAGAAAGACCAAAGTGGCGTTCTTCAGTGCCACTCCTCAGGGAGGTGGTGTTGCACTGATGAGACATGCCCTTGCAAGGTTCTCCTATTCTCTGGGAACCGATATTAGATGGTAAGACTCCCGACAACACTCCTTGCGTGTGAGACAAATGACTGATTGTGAAACCAACCAGGTATGTGCCCAAGCCTAGACCAGGGGTTTTCCGCATCACGAAGACCAATCACAACATCCTGCAAGGAGTCGCAGCTCCAGATGAGCGCTTGAGCGAAGAGGACTGGGACAAGGTTATCGATTGGATTGATGAAAATGCGAAGCGCTACTGGCTCAGTCCGGGAGGCCCTCTGCGCCATCCCTCTGAGGGAGGTGCGGATGTCATCATTATCGATGATCCCCAAATGCCTGCTTTGATTCCTATTGCCAAGAAGATGGCACCCGACAGGCCGATTATCTTCCGAAGCCACATTCAGATTCGGAGCGACCTCATTGCTCAAAAGGGATCGCCCCAGCAGGAAACCTGGAGCTGGATGTGGAAACAGATCCAGCAGGCAGACCTCTACATCAGCCATCCTGTGAGCATCTTCGTTCCGGAAGATGTTCCTTCCGAGAAAGTGGGATACATGCCTGCTTCGACAGACTGGTAAGTTGACTGTCTACATGCCATTGACGCGTATCTAATTAGCAGCACAGGCTGGATGGCCTGAACAAGAACATGCAAGACTGGGATGTCGCCTTCTATGGCCGGATCTTCAATTCGATGTGCAGAAACTCGGGCATGCTTACAATCAACTTCCCCGAGGGTAAGCCAGCACACCTTGAATTACACTTGAACGCTACTTAACAAACGCCTGTAGATGAATACATTGTCCAGATCGCCAGGTTCGATCCTTCCAAGGGTATCATCGACGTCGTGGAGTCATACAAAAAGTTCCACCAACGGTTCACGGCCTCGCTGCCCGACAGGAAGCCGCCGAAGCTGCTCATCTGCGGCCATGGCTCCGTCGATGATCCGGACGGCTCGCTGATCTATGACTCAACCTTGTCGCACATTGAGACCAGCTGCGCCGACATCTCCGATAACATCTGCGTCGTGCGACTCGGACCCTCGGACCAGGTGCTGAACGCGCTCCTCTCGAAAGCCAAGGTGGCCTTGCAGCTATCGACGCGGGAGGGATTCGAGGTCAAGGTGTCGGAGGCCATTCACAAGGGTAAACCAGTGATCGCCACCAAGGCCGGAGGCATCCCGCTGCAGGTGGCCGACAAGAAGAACGGGTTCCTTGTGGAAGTCGGCGACACCGATGCGGTCGCGGAGCATCTGTTCGAACTCTGCACGGATGACGAGCTGTACGAGCGGATGCACAACTACGCCCTGGAGCACGTTTGCGACGAAGTGAGCACGGTCGGTAACGCGCTGAACTGGCTCTACCTCGCATCGAAGCTGTCCAAGTCGGAGGAAGTCAAGCCCAACAAGCGGTGGATCAACGACATGGCTCGCACCGAGGCGGGACAGGAATACACGGGCCAAGAGGACCGACTGAACCGGTTTGATTTGTAGATCAATTTCTGATTATTGTTACGCATGACGACAGCCCTTGCTTCTTGGCTTTTGCCTTGGGTAGACTTGGACAAACCACTCGACTCCCTTTCTTCATCAGACCACTCTTAAACCACTTACACACTACTACTGCTTTCGGTTGTTTAAATTAAGGTGAAAGAAATAAAACAAATAAACATACATACATACATACATTCGGGGTATATCATCATCACAGCCAAACAGCCGCTCGTCCAAAGATCTTTCCACGAGGTAGGATATCCAAACCCACCATCCCTCCCCCCATGCGTAACCCTCCCACCTCCAAGAAAGAAAAGTCAACATCACCTCCCAACAACCCGATACCTCTCCCTCGCCATGCCCCCCTCCGCCCCCTCAACCCCATACCCCTCCCCGACCTCCCCGACAATCCTCGCCGGCGCCCCACCCACCACACACCAACTGGGCACAACCATCCCCGGCGCCACGACCGCCCCATCCAGCACATACGCGAAATCCTTCAAGATCGCCATACTGCCCACCACGGCATCCCGGCCGATGTGCACGTGGTTGCCCACGCTGGCGGCCTCGACGACCGCGCGCTCGCCCACGAACACGTGGTCGCCGATCTTGAGCGGGTAGAACGCGTACACGCCCCGGTGCAGCCGCGACGGCGGCCGCAGGATCGCCTGCCGCGAGATGTAGCTGTAGCGGCCGATCGTGATGGCTACGGATGGCGTTTGTTGTTGTTGCTGGGAAGCGGCGCCGGAGGCTGAGGAGGTTGAGGGGGTGGGCTTGTGGGAGCTGGCGTGCGAGCTGGACTGGGAATGGGAATGGGAGCTGGTGCTGGTGCTGGAGGAGCGGTAGAGGTCCCCCCGGATGACGGCGTCGGATTGGATGACGGTCTTGCCGCCCAGGATGATGTGCTGCGTGCCGTGGATGAGGCTGCGGCGTGAGATTTTGTTGCCCGTGTCCTGTATGACCCAAATAAAGGTTAGTGGGGGTTTGTTTTGGAGCGGAGGGGTTTGGGGGAGGAGAGGGGACGATACGGTTTCAATGTATTCGCCTTTTGGCGCTTTGGGAGGCATTTTTTCGGGGTTGCTTGGGAGGATTGTCTTTGAGATTGGAGATGGGGTAGCTGTTGAGATTGAGTGTGGGGCTGGTGTACAGTACTCCGAGTATGAGTTCAAGAAGTAGAAGCTGGATGGAGGGTGGATGCGACTTGCGACTGCGACGCATGCCGCGGCAGTTGGGCGCGGGCGGTGACCATCATGGAAAGGCGCCGTACAAAGCGGTGAGCGTGTGGTGATGCTCTCTCCTGGTACTGCACAGTTGCGAATGTGGCTAGATTGATCGTGGAATCTCTCTACGCGGATGTCCGGGTCTACTTGGTGCTTCTCTGCTCCGCACAATAAAGCCCCATTTATTCAATCGGGAGATGGTCATTCATAGCACTTTGGACAATTGGGAATCGCGGAGCTACTATGTAAAACCGACCCGGACGGCGTACCCAACAGAGCTAGTATGCTTATCGCAGCTTATCAACATGAAGCTCGCTTCCCATTGCAGGCACAGTACGGAGTACTTCGAATGACTATCAACAATACCTCCTGGCAACTTAATCATCATGTAACAAAAACTTCAATCTTAATTAGACATATTGTTTCAAGCCAGAAGGATATCTCAAAAGAAATGGCAAAACTAGATTAGGTGTATCAATATAGTGCGCAACCAACTCAAGCAGAAGTGACCTGTCGCTGAGGAGCAGGAACGTCACCATCGAAGTGGACTTTGTAGGCTAGAGTCGAAACAAATTAGTTTCCTTCAACACCACATCTCGGAAAAGTGCACTTACTAGTGGGGAAAGGCGAGTAAGCGCCGTGGTCCTCCCGAAGATAGACGGAGTAACCGCCCTTCTGAGGAATCTTCTTCAACACTCCCTGGGCACCAGGGGCAGGACGGAGGTTGTCCAACCGCGCGACGACGCGTACCATGGCCGTCACCGCAATCAGGGTGGCTTCTTTGCCCAGGCCGCTTTGAGGACCTGTGCCGAAGTCAATGTAGGAGTCAATCGGGCGGTCGAGGCGGACCTCGTCAGGAGAGGGGAAGGCGATCGGGTCACGGTTGGCTCCGCGCTGTAGACTGTCAGTTGCTGGCTACATATAGGCTGCAGTACGATGGAAGTGACTTACAGAACCAACAAAGACCTTGTCGCCCTCCTTGAGGTATACAGGGCCATTGTCACCGGACAGTGTAATGTTGGTTTGAGCCTCACGGTAGGTACCCAGGTTACCATTCAAGCGGATCGCCTCCAGGCAGTAACGCGTCAACTTGTCATTAGCATCCAAAGCGTCCTGCTTGGCCAGCTGGTTGATCGCAGCCAGATGATGCTTGCCCTCAGTCAGGTAGAAGTGGATGATTTGAGTGAACTACGAGAGTCAGTATGCCTGCCCTAGAGACGTTCCTGGGCCGACTCACCATTTGGGCTTGGTTGTGCACAATCTCCACAGCTGCCGGCAAGATCTGTCCCCATGTAACCTCAGAGACCCCGTGGCCACTCTCAAGAAGTCGCTTGATGAGCTGGTCACCATAATCCTTGAGAACATTATGATCTTCTCGGAAGCTGTCAATGATACCCGAAAGGAAGCTGGGGGAGTTGATAGATTTGACATGTCCCTCAACGAGTCGACCCAGTTCCTGCGAGACAGCCTGGGCAGCGCGGTGAAGAGAGAAGGACTTCATGAGATCCACGTCGAAGAAGATAGAGCTATAAAGCGTTGCCATGATCATAAACATCTCATGTTCAGAGTAGACACCACGTGGGTGGCTATTTGTCTTCAGAGGCAGAGAGAAGATCTTCGACACAAAGTGCACAGGAACAAGGTTTCCAATACTGTAAAACTATTAGGAAATGCAGCTCCACGGACACATGAGACTTACTCTCTAGCAATGTCCACCTGTCTCCTACCAGCAAGGTTGCATGATTTCTCTCCAAGCAACTTCAGTGTGGCGTCTTCGTAGAAATCCTTAATGTTGGTACGCCACTGATCGTTGTCGAGAGACTTGCTCCAGAAGTCGGTACCTCCCTTGCCAGCGTGAACGGAAGTCAAACCACCCCAAATGACGCGGAAGTCCTTCCCGTAGTCCAAGGCCAACTTGACGTTGTCATATGAAAGCAGAGAGGGAGTAGGTTCGGTGTACCGGGGTGCGTCATAAGAGTAATCGGCCTCACGACCCAGGTTTTTCATGATATTCCGGTTCTCGCTCGGAATCGTCATGGGGTAATGGGCGTAGATGGAGTCTCCCTTGAACCAATTGGGGAAGACACGCGTCGCCAGCTTGTAGAACACGCATCCCTGGTTGATGTTGAGATCATAACGTACCTCGTTGTAGCCCCAGTTGGTGAGGTTTCGGGGGTTGTAATCAATCTGCACAAGCAATTAGTTCGTGCGACCCAAGAATCGGCATATGATCCGATAACCTACAGTGTAGTATCTATCTCCACGGACCAAAGCCACCGCGTCGGACAAAACCGCACGGGAGATTGTGTAAGTAGGAGCAATGCCGACTCCAGGAATCATTGGCTCCTTGGCTTCCTCTGCGACGATACCGGGGTACAGCTCGACGTAGTCAGGGTGTTCGTACAGATGACGCAGAGCATCAGCGACCTCGGGGTCGGAGTTGATGTCTTCGAACTTCTCATAGGGCTTCAAGTTGAAGAATTTGCGGAATTCATTGAGCGATCCGACATTCCACTTACGGCCCTGCTCGATACCCAGGATTTCGACGGACTTCAGAACCTTGGGAACATTACGGGCACCGAACGAGCCTAGAATTATTAGCCCTGTGTCTTCTTTCAGACTTACACAAGGAAGATACACTTACTTGCAACGTCCTCAATAGCAGTCTTAAGAATGTGAACGAGCTCTTCATCTTTGAATGTCCCATCCTCCTGGCGCTTCAAGCCAGCGAAGGTACGCTGGCTGGGGTCCTTCGGAATGGTCTCTTCGTACTTCTTGAGTCCCATGAGAAGCTCGGGGAGGGTAACATCCTCGGCAGGCTTGCCCATGAGCTCTTCGTAGACCTGCTCAGTCCATTTCTCGTCGCCGGCACTAATAGCGGAGTGCCAGCGGTAGGCCAAGTTGAACTCGATGGAGCACTGGTTTCCTAGACCAGAAGGGGTGGTCTTGCTACCCTCCATCTGGGCTCTGGGATCCTGCTACTCGTTAGAAGTCGAACCAAGGATAAAAGTAAGCTTCACGCTTGCGACTCACCAGACACCAGGTACTATTACTCCGGTTCAAGTTGACGATTGTACGGAGGTAATCGTACAGGGTGATGTTGATGAACAGACCACATGTGACGCTAGAATTGGTTAGATGAGAATGTAGTGGGAGCTCCTCACGCAACACTTACAGTCGACCAGTCTGGAATAGATCCTCATCGTACTTAGTCCACGCTTCTTGGGCCTGCTTCTCTGGAAGCCCGGGACGAGGTTTAGTGAAACGGCCATTTTCATTAATGGCCGCCAGCTCTTCGACAACGTAGTTGTGGAATCTGTGGCGAAACAATGCATCAGTCAACGTCAGCACCGCAGTGCTAGGAAGTCATCGACTCACCTGCTCAGCATAACCATGAGGACACTGCAGGCCGCTGGGAACGCTTGCAGACGCTGCTCCGAAAACGTATCCGGCTTCAACTTTCCATCCTTGAAGGTACGGACAAGATCCTGGTCGTCCTTGGTGTCACCGTAGAGGATGGAGAGATCGAGGTATGCCGAGGTCTTGTTGATGTGGGGCTGTCTGTAGTCTGTCTGGAAGATATCTAAACAGGATATTAGCGATATTGTGGGAGCATGAGCAACGAATTACCAACCGTGGATGATCAAAGAGGCCCAATCGAAGAACAGACTGGAAACCTTGTTCGGGTGGGGGGTGAACTTCTCGCGCGCAAAAAGGCAGTCGAAGACGAGACCGGAATCAGGAAGACCACCGGGTTGAATTGTCAGGGGAGCGATCGAACGGGCGTATGGCGTGTTTGCAGCGCCCAACCACGGAAGGGTGGGATTGTTGTTCGAGCCGTCGGCCGAGCGGTACGCAAACTCATTCCCCATGTACCTTCACAACACAACATACTCATCAGACGAGTTGCTTTTGCACAATTGTCGGTGATCGACTTACGAGAGAGGAGGGTGAGGCAATGAGCCCCAGAGCTCGTCCAAAAAGGCATTGGTGAGATCGACACGATTCTTGGAGTTTCCGGGCAGAGCGCTAACGAGCTACAGAGGAGAAGCGCCAGGAATGTCAGCGATCAGAACAAGTCGAGTCTTTGACGCCCGCTTACCTGAATAATCCGTTCCATAAGCATGGTCTTATCGTCGATATACTCGCCCTTGGCTTTGTTCTTGATCAGGTCCTTCAATGTACCAACATCCTTGATGCCCAGAGTTCTCAAATCCGAGAACATGCTGCTGGAGTGTTCATGTTCGATGTAGGTTCCATCGCCGTTCTGATTCGGCAGAGGACGCTGCGAAGCGTGCAAAACCTGGGCATATCGCTCAAAAGCAGACAGGCCGTCGTCGTACTTGTCTTGCTTCTCGTACCGCGGCTCACTGTGACTCTCATCCGATGATGAATTGGGCGCCGGCGAAACCTTGGACTGACGTTTCGTCCCGTTGGTCTGAGTACCATTTGGCCTCGATTCGCGCTCCCCCTTTCCCTTCTTGAACGTGCTGGAGAATCGGCGCAACATTATGATTATGGAATTTAAGTGTAGAATACGAAACAAAAAAAGCGTGGAAACGGAGAGATAATAGCTGGAGACAAATGGCTATAGCCGACGAAGGGGTGCAAGCAAGAGAGAAAAAGCCACCGACAGCAGGTGCCCAGGCTTTTGATCTGTCCGAAATAACAACAGGACTTTAGACGAGGCACTGCATGGGAGTTCGTCCGCGATCAACCGTGCCAGCCAATTTGTGGATCCAGTGCATCGAATCCCAGCGCAACAATACTAATGACGCATTCGCGGAAGGCGTCGCTGGCTCGCCACTTGCATATGTGCCGTATTCCCTAAATGTCATTCATGATTCGATCTATCTCCTGGGCCCCGCGCGTAGCACAAATTACCTAGTCTGATGGCTTTGGCTGAAGTTTAGAAGCACAGGGGAGTGGGGAACCTCAGGTTGACCATGCAATAGGGGGCATGATGTGGAGTCGAACGTGGTTCAGCTCTCCGACGGTACACTACTCATAGAGATGGCGTCTCAATGCGGTCCAATTTGAAGTGGCAATAAATGATGAACTTTGGCAAGGTAGTTGGTGCTAGGCAAGGCCCGAGCTTGGCTTGACCTTGTACATGGTAAGTACATACATAGTTTGGAGTACGGAGTACATACCGGTAGCACAGTACAATGAGAAAGGCTGAAGGGAACAACCAAAGTAAATGTGATGGAAAAGGAAGTCGGGTAAGTAAAAAGTGAATTTCAGATCGGGCAAGTCCGGCATCGACAGAGAAAGTGGGTGTGCCAATTTGATCGGGGATTATTTGTGGTTGATCTCAATCCAAGATCGCCCATCCTCGAGC